TCTGCTCTGCTGAGTTCAAGCTAAGCTCTCCTGCAGAGTTTGATATGGAATATTTAAAATTTAAAACCCCTGTTTTAAAGACCCAGAGTGAGAAATGCAGCCAGTTCTGGCATGGAAAGTCAAAAAGGTTCCTGGGTCAGCTTTTGGCCTTACTCTTCCACTCCTGCGTGATCTTTCTTTCGTGGTATTTCTTGGATGATGTTGCTTTTCACCGGAGAGCACGGGTGCAGCTTGGAGCCATGGGCAGAGCGCTGCCTGAGCCGGTCCCACCAGCTCTGTGGTCTGTTTGCTGTAAATGAGAGCAGCAAAGATTTGCGAAGAGACCTTGTGCCACCGAGACCTTCCTTTCAGGTGTGCCCAACGGGCAAGTACTGAGGGCACGCTGGGCATTACGGGTTGCTTCTCCAGCAGGTACCCCTGAATGACTTGTGAGCAGATGAAATGGCACGTTGTTTTAATAGCTGTAGCTCTGATTTTCTTCTGACTGCATGCTGGTTGCTTCTCCAGCAGGTACCCCTGAATGACTTGATTCAGGGGTTGAATCAGAGCTGTAGCTCTGATTTTCTTCCAACTGCATGCTCATAACTCTCCTTGTGGTCAGAAGCCAGCAGCGTAATCCTCCAACTTTGGAGTTTTGGACTTTGCATTCGTACAAAGTTGCAATAATTTTGCAGTGGAGAGGTCTGTGAAGGTGGATTCCTTCTGCGTGACTTGCAGGCAGTTATTAGTGTCCCACAGATCTTTTATTCCATCGAGCAGTGCCGACTGTGTTGCACTTCTCTCATGGATGAGGAAGGCTGTGGATGGTTTCTGGCTGTCAGCCTGCTTTTAATCCCACGCTTCAACACCCCGCTTCTCTTCCAGTTGTGCCATGCCGATCTCAAAACACCCGTCCTCCGTGCTGGTTGTGATTTCCCCAATATGCTTTGACTACGAGGAGATACCTTGGTATTCGTGGCAACCTAGTGAATATTGTAGGCTGGGTTTGTTAGCTTTTGGGTTCAGAGCAGCTGAAGTGAATCCCATCCTCATCCTCTTTTGCTGTGCATCAGTTTGGCTCGTGGGAGATTTTTGTGCATTTCGGCACAGTTCATTTCAGAAGAATCTAAGCCGCAAGCTTTGCTCTGGGTGCAGATCAAACCCAGTCCACCCTCTTGAAGGGGGCAGAGGGGTCCAAACTACCTGACGGGAGGGTGTAGTGAGGTGGGTGTTGGTCTCTGCTCCCAGGGAAGGGGCGATGGGACGAGGGGCACCGGCCTCAAGTTGTGCCAGGGCAGGGTGAGGTTGGCCATGGGGAACAATTCCTTCCCCTTGGGGCTGTCAGGCACTGGAAGGGGCTGCCCAGGGAAGGGGTCGAGTCCCCAGCCCTGGGGGGATTTAACAGCCGGGCAGAGGCGGTGCTGAGGGCCAGGGTTTGGGGGTGGGATGGCAGGGGTAGGGGAACGCTTGGGCTGGGGGAGCTTAAAGGGCTTTGCCAACCTAAACCATGCTGTGATTCTATGAATGAAAGGCTTTTTGGCTGGCTTCAAACCAAGCATGTGATGGGGACGGGCAGTCCAGGCTACCAAAAATCCAGTCTGAAGTCACCCACTCCAGTCATATACAGGGTAGAGGTGTGGGCTTGAGCACCGAGTGCTTCCATCTACCGATCTACTCCTGTCAGGCCAGATGAGACTGTAAGAAGCCCTCGTCCCGTTGAGCATGCACCTCCACGCCTCCCTGCTTTCCCCCACTTCCAGACATGGATGCTAAGCAGCCTCCCACGGCCCCGCTGCCCTGGTGGTCCAGGGGACGTAATCCTGGACACTTGGCTTCCACTCTTCAGGACACAAACCCAGCGGCTGCTTTTTGGGGTGTTGTGGTGGGTTGACCCTGGCTGGACGCCGGGTGCCCACCAAAGCCACTCTGTCCCTGCCCTCCTCAGCTGGACGGGCAGAGAAAACACAACGAAAGGCTCGTGGGTTGAGATAAGGACAGGGAGATCACTCGGCAATTACTGTCATAGGCAAAGCAGACTCAATTTGGGGAAATTAGCTTAATTTATTATCAAATCAGAGCAGGGTAATGAGAAATGAAACCAAATCTTAAAACCCCTTTCCCCGACTCCTCCCTTCTTCCTGGGCTCAACTTCACTCCCGATTTCTCCACCTCCTCCCCACCAGCAGTGCAGGGGGATGGGGAATGGGGGTTGGGGTCAGTTCATCCCACGCTGTC